AGAGAGAAGGAGGGAGGGGGAGAGAGAGAGAGAGACAGAGAGAGAGAGAGAGAGAAGCAGACCAACTGGCAAAAACAGAAAAAAAATCTTCACAACAAACGTTGCCAAGGAGCCCAAGAGTGAGCTGCGGCCACAGCTGACTCTGGCCCGTCCAGACTCTGACTCAGCAATTCTGCTTCTAGGAATCCACCTGAGGGCGGCCAGGTCTACAGGAATGCTTGGTCCCAGCTCCCCGGAGCAGCACCGGAGCACCTCGTCCAGCTCCAACGTCAGGGCTGGACGGCCATCTAGGAGGCCCAGGCCCAGCTGGAGAATGCTGGGGACCATGATGCTGCAGCTCCTGGTCACCAGGGAGGGGGACTCAGCCTGGGCCCCAGGCCTCCGTGTCCCCCAGGAACACTGCAGATTCCCCCCAGTAGCAGCTGAGTAGCAGGCTGCGCACCCCCCGGGGGAAAGTACTTCCCATTCAAGGGTTCAAGGAGGACAGGAGAGGGCCATCCCTCATGTCCCACTGCCCATCTTGGTCATATGCTTGCCGTGCCCTCTGGCCAGTCCTGGTGTTTTAGTGTCCTGTGCAAGTGGCCAGTGGCTTCCTCCTGTGGATAGAAGCAAGGTAAAACAGGGGTGAGCACAGGCCCTGGGACTGGGCTCTACTTCCTGTTGTGTGGACTTGGGCAAGTTACCTAAAGCCGTAAGCCTCAGCTTCCTCATCTGGAAAGTGGGGATAATAAATAAAACACACTGCCTCTTACCTGGGGCATTATGGGAATAAAAGGATACATGTAGCTGCGTAATCCAGTGACTCAGGAGGCTGAGGCAAGAGTATGGCAAATTGGAGGCTATCCTCAGCAACTTAGGGAGACCCTGCCTCAATATTAAAATGAAAAGGGCTGGGGGTGAAGCTCCGAATTAGAGCACCCCTGGGTTCCATTCCTAGCACACCACACACACACATCACGCACCCGTGATGTATCTAGAATATTTAGCCCTGTTCAGTGAAGATTGGCTGTTATTATTCTTGACAAATAAGTCAAGTTTTTTTTTTTTCACTTTACTAGTGCATGGGCATGTGCTGGGAATTGGGCCCAGGGACTCACAAAGGCCAAGCACCCGCTTTACCCCTGAGCCTCCCCCAGCCCTTTGTAGTTTTAGAGACAGTGTTTCACTCAGTTGCCCAGGTGGGCCTGAACTTGTGATCCTCCTGCCTCAGCCTCCTGGGTAGCTGAGATCGCAGGCACATGGTGCCCCTGGCCATAATTATTCTTGGTAAAGGAAAAAAGACTTGGAGGGCAGAGCAGGAGGCATTTGTTCCCAGGCCAGATGGGCGTGGCCCCCTGTTTCTCCAACATTGATAAGTCCACTTGGCTCAGCCACCCGTGGCAGGAGAAGCCTGAGTCAAGGCCCACAAACCCCTGCAGGTGGTAGGTGTCCCAGGGCACGGCCATGCCCACTTACAGATTGAGGAAACTGAGGTTCAGAGAGGCCACCAGCCGGGTTCCAGGCCCCCAAGACCTTCGCTCAGATCCCTGGGGGAGGGAAGTGGAAGTGGAACAGAAGCCCCCTGCTCTCCCTGCAAGGCCCCGCATGTGAGAAGCGACTCTCACCTCTCCCTCCCTGGGAGCTCATGACTCTCAGGCCTTGGGACAGCCATCAGTCGGCGGGGCCCTGGCCCGGCCCTGGCAGGTGGCTGCTGTCTGCAGGGTCTGGGGAAGAAATGCCCTCTGTGCAGTCCACCTTCCCCAGCAGCCACCCAGGCTGCAGGGACGGCCTCAGAGAAGCTGCCCACCAGCCTCCCGCGTGCCCGCGGGGGCCGCAGTGAGCCGAGCTCAGGCCTGCCCGGGGCAGGGGTGGAAAAGAAGCCCAGCTGCACCCTCAGCACCTGCCATTCCCAGCCTCGCTGACACTGCCTGGGGACGTCCTCGCTGCACCCTGAGCCAGGGAGGCAGGGAAGGGGATTTATCAGAAGGGCCTGAAAGCCCGTGGGACGCCGCAGGTGAGGCCAGCCACGGGGTGCCCTGGTCCAGTCACGAGGGCTCCAGGGTCTCAGCAATAGGGATCAAAGGCAGCTGGTGGCAGGTTCTAAGGGACTGTGAAGAGCCCAGCAGCTGGACGGCAGAGGAGGAGGGGCAGGGCCAGGAGTCCAAGATCCAGGGAGAGTCTGCAGCCCGTGCCCTCTGCACCCTTCAATCCTGGGAGAGACGGGTTGAGCAGGGGTCGGCTAGCTGGTGCCACCACGGCTTCCCGGTTGGGAAGGGGGAGTGTCCCTTAAAGCAAATTGGGTGCTTCCCTGAAGAATGGGGACTGATCTTTGGTTGGGATGGGCATGGGTGGCGGGGGGCAAGCCCCCGGACCTCGCTCTGGGTCTCTGTCCTGCTGGCCTCATGTGCTCGGCCTCCCCCGCCTTCCAGGCTGCTGGGGACTCACAAAGCCAAACCTGGAGGGAGGTCCGACTGTGGCCACCAGGCTGGGATCTCGTCGCTCCATCCACCATCCCGCACGCAGCACCTGGGACGGGCCCGTCCCTCCTCCCCAGCCAGGGACTGGAAGTGGACTCCTCTGGGCAGATCCAGGAGAGCCACAGGTGGGCACTGGCCTGGCCCAGCTCTCCTGGGTCTCAGTCCCCCAACACTAGTTCCCCCTGAGCCAACAGGGCCCCTGGGGGCGGTCAGTGTGACCTGCTGGCCGCTCAGTGCCCCACCCAGAGCAGCTCAGACCAGGCTGAATGCGGGACATTGACTCCACACCCCCCTTAATGTCTGGCCACGACATTCAGGTCATCAGTCTCTCCTTGGGGCAGCCACACATGGAGTCCAATAACGCAGGCCACCGTCAGCGGCCACCAACTCCTGGTGCAGATTGGACTCTGCTTCTGTGGGCCTCGGTTTCCCTGTCTGTGCGGAGGCCTGCACATCCCTCGCAGCCAGACGCCGTGTGCTGTAACGACGGCATGTTGGGGCGCAGAGGACACCGGAGCGGGACAGAGGGAGGACGCTGCTTTCTCTGAAGCCCTTCGGCTTCTCTTACATTCAGAATGGAACTTGTGTCATCTTGGTAAACAGTGAGTCCAGCAGTGACAATCACTGCAGGCCGTATGTCAAGGGCTTCCCCTGGATCCGCTTCCTGAACCTTTGCAGGCCCCTGTGAATTAGGTGGCAAGGCCCAGAGAGGTTGAGGCACTTGGACCCAGGTCACACAGCTGACTGTCCACAGGGGATTCAAGCCAGGCTTCTCTGTCCCCGCCCACCCCAGTGGGCTCCCTACAGAGTAGGAAACATTCCCAGAATCCAGGCACAGACAGGAGGGCTCTGCTGAGGCCCACGTTCATGTGGCTCTGTCCAGTTCAGGGTACTCCAAGGTGGGCAGCAGTCCCCAGCCTGGGGCTGCCACACGACAGCTGTGCTGGCTGCAGGGCGAGCGAGCGCCCCCTCCAGCCTCCTCCTCCAAGCAGCTCTGGGAGGCCTGGGGACCTCACTGGCCAAGATTCTGAGGATTCACTGGTGGAGACCGACCGCTCCCTTCAGGGGTCCGACCACAAGTGCATCTTGATGAGTTCCAACCCTCCTCAGCGTGCTGCTGTCCTGCTGGGGCTAACGGTCGGTCCCACCTGTGCTGACCCGGAAGCCCACGCTGACGATGGGTGCCGGGGCCCAGGAAGAGGTGGAGTGTTAAGTTAGGACAAAGCAGAAGCTCTCCGCGCTGCTGGGACCCGGGAATCCTCACAGACTCAGGCAGGGGGAGCCTGCAGCAGCCCTCACCCGCCTGCGGCTACTTCTGCACGTGAATGGCATCTGAAAGGCACCCCCACCCCTTAGACACAGTGAGGGAGGGAGGGAGGGAAGGAGGGAGAGTGGAGCGCAGCCCCCACCCCACCCCGTGCTTCCTCGCTCAGAAACACCAGCAGGACCCAGTGGTCACCAGCCACACCCATGGTCATCAGCAGGACCCAGTGGTCACCAGCCACACCCATGGTCACCAGCAGGACCCAGTGGCCACCAGCCACACCCAGGGGTCACCAGCCACATCCAGTGGTCACCAGCCACACCCAGGGGTCACCAGCCACACCCATGGTCACTGGCAATACCCAACCATTGTTGCCCAGAACTGGCTGCCGAGCCAGGGGCGGGGAATGGGTGGGGGCAGCTGTGGCATGCTCACAGAGGCCGGCCTCCCCCCAGCTCCTGGCAGCCTAGTGGCTCTGTGGTCCTCAGGCCTGTTGGGCTTGGGGGCAGCTTGCTGCGGTGGACCGAGTGTGTGCAAGCCCCCTCACGTGCTGAAACCCTGCGGTCAGTACGAGGAGGGGCTTTTGGCCATGGGGAGGGGCCCTGGGGTGGGGTGAGTGTCCCGGAAGCCCAGCTCTGCCCTGGGCACTCCAGCCAGACGGTGAGGAGGAGGCCCTGTCCTCAGCGGTGCAGAACCTGCCGCGCCTGCCTTGGGCCCCTTCCCCAGCGCCGTGAAGTCCACTTCCACTGGGGCTAGGTCACACAGCAGCCCCTGGGGGACAGAGCACCTGTGGGCGCCTTCAGGGGACAGAACGGACTAACCACCCCGAGAGCCGGGTGTGTGAGGTCCTCACCCCAGTCCGGGCAGTGGCCAGTGAGCAACTTAACAGCAACCTGCCCCGGACAGTCCGCTGGTGGCCCGTGGGGCTGTGGCCTCAGGCTGCACTGCCTGCTGCTGGACAGGGCTTCGCAGGCCCCGGGGGGGGGGGGACAGGCTTGTTAACATTCCTGCCTGAGTGGCCCCTGCACAGGCAGCTCTGCGTGTGTG